GGTGTTTTCTGTTCAGTCATTGTCCTGTCTCAGTCTTATTGTCGGATCATTGTTGTGTTGTGTTTTGTCCCTGAGCTTTGTCTCCCTTGTGCCTGTGACTTTGAGAAACTGTAAGTGATTTTTGAGCTGCCTCAACAGCATTTTCTGTTATTTAATAAATCTTTTTGTTCCTTTTTGAACCTGCCTGCGCCCTGGGTCTGTCCCTACCAAATCCTCACAAATTTCTTATTTCTGCTCCTATTTACAAAAAAACGTTAATTTCAAACAATAAACCAAATAATAAAACAAACCTAAAAAATTCAACTCCTCAAACAGTGACTCACAAATACAAGTTAAACAATTTAATATTTCTTTAACAGATTTGCTTTGATGATTTTTTAAAGGAATTAATTTATCCAATGCTTTTATAATCATTTTCCAGATTATTCTATAGTCTTACAGCAGCCAGTTCACTCTATACCAGGACAGCTGAAAAGACCTGTTATTTCCCCACTGTGGGATCAATAAAAAGGTTTTTTTAATCTGACGTTTCCCCACCTTTTGCACCAAATTAATCTGAGGAGTTGATCCGCCCTGCTGTTTAACTCTAAGTTTTTCTTTGTAAACAAGACTATAATGGCTTCACCAAAATCCGGTCCACAACAATCAAACTGTCTGCCGTGCAGCGTGTTACTGGCGCGAGGCGAGTGAAGTGTGTCTGCCTGTGAGTGTTTCATGACGAAGGGGCTCAGCAGCCCCCGCTGGACAGAAGTCAGAAAGAGTGATAGAAATGTCTCCAAACATAAGCAGCTACAGAAATAACACCAGAAATAGAAGTTTGATTTGTTGCTAGTCGTTTTTAACAAAGAAAATTCTGCTAAAAGGATTAATAAAGTCTCCGCTTCAACTCAGAACAGAAACGAAACTAAAAACTGCTCCCATACATGTTTAAACCAAACAGATCGCTGATTCGTTCATTTCGCTGTCAATCAAAAAGGAATTCAGCCTCCGACAGATCATCCAATCATCATGCAGAAGCTGAGCGTCCAAGCCAGCCCACAGCCCATAGACCCCCAGAGACGCTCAGCGTCCAATGGGCGGGACAAAGCCCAACATTTATCCATTGACTCGTCTCGTTTAGTTGCACTCTTTGCATTGCTAATGAGCTCTGTAGACGCTCAGCGTCCGACTGTTTAAAGCTCTGTGAAGCTGTGGGAATGAGTGAAATGAGGAAATGAGGAAAGTCGCATCATTACCAGTGATAAGAAGCTGATTCTGAACAAAAGTTGAGCACGTTGTAGCGTATATTTAGTCAATGACATGTACACACAACAGTGTATATTTTATCTTTTTTTCCCCATTTTAGGGGAAGCTGCGCTTCCCTTGCAGTCTTAGAGAAATCGCCTCTGGTGTGTGTGTGTGTGTGTGTGTGTGTGTGTGTGTGTGTGTGTGTGT